CTCTGAACAAAGCGGTGGTACTGGTTTTGATGATATGGAAGAAAATATTAACGGTGGAGCATCATATTTTTTAATGGTCGAGAGCAATTGATAAATATAATCTTATAAAAAATTATTAACAAAATTTTTAATTATATAATATCAAGTACTAAATGTAGCGCATTATAAACAATTAAAGGATTAAGTTTATTTAAATCAAGTGACAGAGTTAAATTTCTAAAAATAAAATAGTTGAGGGGTCAAAAATATCGTTTTTCATATTTTAAAATTTAATGTTATATATTTCAATTCATTTTGAAATCTTATATATTTCATTTTTAGTTCTTGTTTTTATCATTTGTACTTACACGTAACTATATAGTCAAACTTGCAAATTTCATCCTCTTTAACTATTTCATTGGTCTCTTGTTTTTTTTTTTTTTTTTTTTTTTTTTTTTTTTTTTTTTTTATTTTATTTTTAATATTAATTCTTTTTGCATTTCCTTGATGTTTAGCTGGCAGTTCCCTTAAAGTTCCTTCACTCCTTCCTTGAAAATTTTCAGAGTGACTGAGTTTTGTAGCATAAGTTTCAAATTGGTTGCTGAAAAGCTACAATAGATCACCTGGACTTTTACATCTACGTTCCAGTTTTTGAAGAACATCAACCACAAAGGTATGCAAATTCTATACATAGAGAAATTTTTATCAATTATTAAAACTATTTGCAATTATTAGAACACTAGTTTTTTACGCGCATTGCGCGATTGGGATAATGCCCAATGTTTTTTTTTAATAAGCATTTTAAAGTATATCAAGGCGGGATTATATTAGAATTGTTCATGCATAAATAATTGAATGTTGAATTTGCGTATTTAAATAGGTAATTCTAAGTTTAAAAATGCAAGATAATATAGTCAAGATTGTTTATAATTGTCAGCAAAATAATTGTATAAGTATGGTTGAAACCAAATACGGGACATAAGGGAGAGCAAATAAAAATTAGGGCATAAAATTTTAAATATATACTAATATTGAAGGCCTAATTGTTGATTGTCAAACAAGGACATTGCGAGGTAGTTTTCCACTTCAATTTGTTGTGTAATTTGAATACTCTTTTTGTAAATAAATTCCCCAAGTAGTTAATATGATTGACTTAATTATATTTTATTATTTTTTTTATTTTTAAAACAATTATTATTATTATTATTATTATTATTATTATTATTATTATTATTATTATTATTATTATTATTATTATTAAATATATGTATACCCTTAGGTCATTTTGCATGTTAATCTAAAAAGTTAATTTTTTTCAAATATCTTTTTATCAACCGTTGATATAATTTGCTGGTCAAATCAGCTAATATAATCTGCTAACGCTAACCGCTAACTACTGATTGTCAAACAAGGACATTATGAGATAGTTCTCACTTCAACTTGTTGTGTGATTTGAATACTCTCTTTGTCAACAAATTCCTCAAGTAGTTAATATGATTGGCTTTATTAATTATATTTTTCTTAATTTTTTCATGGTATTAATAAAATACTTGGTAAATAAATATATAACATTATTTTGTATTATAACTTTGATATTTAATTAAAAAAAATAGTGCACAAAAAAGATAATAGACAATGTAGTGAATATAATCAATTGATGAATTTGAATGTAAAGAATTTTTATATTGGAGAAAAATAAAGACAATATAATATAATAAAATTATTTCTCTTAATTAATTTATTGATAATGAATAATTTTTTTTTAATAAAGACATTGTAGGGACAATGTAGCGAATATAATCAATTGATGAATTTGAATGTAAAGAATTTTTATTTTGGAGAAAAATAAAGACAATATAACTAATGAAATTATTTCTCTTATTTAATTTATTTATAATGAATAATTTTTTTGAATAAAAATATTGTAGATACATAATTCTAAATTAAAGATCGAAATGCATATGTATTATTTTTTGTTGTAACTACTAAATTATTATTTTTAATTTAATAAAAGTAAAATAGAGTACTAAATATGCCAACTTTGATTGGGATGGGGTTCGAACTTCGAACTTAAGACCTTTTTTATTGAAATCAGTGAATAAGTTAACGGTGAACTAACAGAAATTAACGGAAAAGATAATATTTAACGGAAAAGTTAACGGATAATCATATTCATTAAGGATAAATTAGTAAATCTTAAAAAAAAATTAAAATCTGATCAATCTGAACCATTCATTTGATTAACAAACTTGACCGCCATTTTTTATACCCATTATAGGCCTAACTCTCTTAGGCTCTTATTAGTATAGTAGATAGTAGATAGTAGATTTTAACATAATGCAATTAAATCAAAACATGTTACTCCTATTACTGCTGACGTGTCTACCATTTTATTAAAAAAAAATTAAAACTTATTTTAATAATTTTAGATAAAATTAAAAAAAAAATACTTTCATCTCCCGGCAGGAGATGAAGTTCATTCTTCGTCTACGGCCTAGAGACGAAGAGAAGGCCTTGTCTCCCGTGGAGGCGTGGAGGCGAAGAAAACGCCTTTGCCTCCAAATGTGTTTTTGTTTTTTATTTTATAAAAACTTTTTTATTCAAATTTATTAATATAAATTAAAATAATATTTTTAATAAATTGACAGACAGCCAATCAGAGAAACATGTCAATTTTGATTTTCAGTTGAGTTACCATGATTTACATCCTCCCAAATGCTCTGTCGGGTCGGAGTGTGGGGGGCCCTTAAGGTTGAGGTTCAGCCTTTTGGAAGAATGTCAATTTTGGTTTAATTGTATATTTTTAGAATATTCAGAACCTTAGTTGCATTTTTTTAGTTGTATGACCCAATTAGATTTTCACTATAGTTACACGGCCTATTTGAGCATTATTCATTCTTTTTTATTTAGCAATAAAAAGTTTTGCAATTTTGCAAAAAAATTATCGAGAAATTACGGTGACATGCAATTTTGAACGGTTACCGAATTTCCTCAAAACATGTATGTTTTGTCATTTAACATTTCTTAATTTCCTACTAATTTACTAATGACCTTGTGGTGGCATGAAGTGACTCTCCGAAATAGGAATTCATGGATGAACAGATATTACATTGTAACAGAGTTAGTAGTTCTCTAAAAAAAAAAAATTGGCTGTGAAAATGGCAATGACAATTTTGTTTGAGCACTATTAACTCTGTTACATTATAGTATTAGCCCTACTATCGACTCTGTTACAATATAGTATATGTCCATACATATTTTTTCAATTTATTAAAGTAACCACAAGTTCTTTGACAACAATTTAATTTTACTAAAATATATAAAATTTTCTGCAGTTTTACAACAGAAATAGCATGCATTAGCTCTCGTAGATTGGAAGATCGAAAGAGATAATTCCAAAAAAGTTTAATTGCATTAAAATTAGAGTGCTTTTCTCATTGTTAAATATACTCATATTTTGACTTTTTTTTTTAAGACAATATGGCGGAGCTGTTTGTCAGTGCAGCCTTGAATTCATATAGCAAATTTAAGGATTTTGATAAAAATATGAATGCTCTGAAAAGACAAGTAACTCAACTATCTTGCCAAGCAGAAGACATAGAAACAAGGTTGATGAAATTGGAACCAGGAGGGAAAAAGAAGAGGAAATTGGAAGTCAAGGGTTGGCTTAAACAAGTAGAAGAGGTGAAAAACGAGTTGAAGCATTCAATGAAAGAATAACAAATGGGGGATTAGTAGAGAAAGTAAATTCTTTAGAGGATGTCCAATCCATGAGAGAAGCAGTTCAAGAACTCAGAGATGATGGCAGAAATATTGGGGAACTTACAGTTGATGTGGATGAAAGCCCCATAATACCTTCACTAGTTGTCTCTGAGTTATCTGGAAAAACATCAAATGATAATTTAGAGATATTATATGGATGGTTAGAGGATGATAAAGTCTTGAGCATTGATGTGTATGGGATGGGAGGTGTCGGGAAGACAACTTTGGTGAAGCATATTCATAATCGAATCATCCAAAAAATGTCTCATGTTAAAGTTTACTGGGTTACAGTTTCTCAAGATTTTTGCATCAAAAAGTTGCAAGATGACATTGCCAAAATTGCAGGGCTTCAATTTCTTAACGAGAATGAAGAGCATAGAGCTGCCATTTTACACCAACACTTAGTGGGAAATAAAACTGTGCTCATATTGGATGATATGTGGAAGTGCATTTGCTTGGAGAAATTGGGTAACCCTCATAGGATTGAAGGATGCAAGTTCATTATAACTTCTCGCTCATTAGAAGTGTGTCGCCAGATTGAGTGCCAAGAATTGTTCAAAGTCAAAACTCTTAATGAAATCGAAGCTTGGGATTTGTTCAAATCGAATTTATTACTTCATGGCCATACTATGCTCACGGATGCTATTGAAAAACATGCGAAAGAATTGGCCAAAAAGTGTGGGGGCTTACCATTGGCACCCAACACTATAGCCGCAAACATGCGAGGGGTGAATGATGATCACATATGGAGGAATGCCATTAATAATTTCCAAAATGACTCGCTTCAATTAGAAGGCTTGGAAAATAATGTGTTTGAAATACTCAAATTTAGCTAAACAGATTGAATGATCAAAGGTTGAAAGAGTGTTTCCTTTATTGTTGTTTGTATCCTGAAGATCATTATATTCGCAAGGATGAAGTAATAATGAAGTTGATTGCAGAAGGGTTATGTGAAGATAGAGACGAGGGTCATTCAATATTCAATAAACTAGTAGACGTTTTCTTATTGGAAATGGGAGAATGGTATGTTAAGATGCATGATTTAATGAGAGAAATGGCTTTAAAGATCTCGAAGTTCATGGTTAAATCTGAGCTCATTGAAATTCCAGAGGAGAAACATTGGATTGCTGAATTGGAGAGAGTATCTTTTATGAGAAATAAAATAAAAGAAATTCCAGATGGATTTTCTCCGAGATGCCATAGCCTTTCCACCTTGATTTTGGAAGATACCCTGCAGCTTCAAAGAATCCCATAATCTTTCTTGTCGTACATGACGACACAGGTTCGAGTCCTTGATTTAAGTTATAACAGGCAGCTTAAGTGTCTTCCCAATTCAATCTCAGATTTGGAGAATCTTTGTGGATTATTTCTTGGATATTGTCAAAGCATTAGTTGTTTGCCAGCATTGGAGAAGCTGAGCGCATTGAGGGTGTTAGATATTAGTGGTTGTTCAAAGATTAGTTGTTTGGCAGCAATTAAGAAGCTGAGGGCATTGAGGGTGTTAAATATTGAAGATTGTAAGGGAATTAGGAAATTGCCTCAAGACATGGAATGTTTAGCCAGTCTCCAATATCTATATACGATGCACACAAGCATATTGGAGATTCCAAAAGTCGTAATATCCAAACTAAGAAATCTTAGATGCCTCCAATTAGAGGAATGCGGGAGCTTGCAAAGTGAAGAAGTGAATTGGTTGCCACATCTTCAAGAATTTACAAACTGCTATGATGAATTGCACAGCTTCAACACATTGGTTAAAAAACTTGAGCAACTGGAATGCTACCACATATGTGTAGGTGGGAGGAATTACCGAGAGTTGGACACTAAAAGCAAGACTGTGTATTTGGAGGGAATCGGTTTTAAAGGGGAAAGAGGTCAAGAAATTAAAGCTTTGCTTCCTGCAAACATTTGTTGTTTACACATTAACAGATGTGAAGCGTTGAATGGGTCCATAGCAGACTATTTCCAATCAGTAATGAGTAATTTGAGAAAACTAGAAGTACATGATTGCAAGGAAGTAGAGTGGATTTCGAACAGCAAACAAATAACAGAAAATGCAGCATTTAAGAGTCTTGAGGTGTTGGATCTCAGTTTGCTGCCAAAATTAATAAGTGTGTGTAAAGGAGAAGATGTAATTCTTCCAGATTATTACACCTTCTCATGCCTTAAACATGTGCATATCTTTGAATGTAAAAGTATGAAGAAGTTGTTGCCACTGGCGTTATTGCAAAATCTCAAAAGCCTTGAGACACTTTATGTGGCACGCTGCTACCAACTTGAAGTGGTAATAGGAGAAGTTGAGGGGGATGAAGAAGGTATAGGTAGTAGTAGTAATAGCCCACTCTTGTCATCCTCAAATATATTATACCTCCCCAACCTTAAATCCTTACAACTTGACAACCTGCCAGCATTGAAAAGCATATGCAATGGTAGAGGAATGATTTGCCCTTCCATTGAAAAAATACTCATTTGGCGTTGTACAAATATAAAGAGGATGCCTTCGTTTCTTCCCATTAATGAGGCTATTGGACAACCATACCTTCCTTCTTCCTTTCGAGGGATCTACTTATTTCCAAATAAGAAAGAATGGTGGGAATCATTGGAGTGGCACAACCCAAATGCAAAAGACATCCTTCAATCTCACATTCATTGGTAATTTATTATATATTTGCCTCTAATCTAGCTATAAAATAATATTTCAAAAAATATTTAGTTCATTTGTCACATTTAACATTTAAAAAAAAAAAAGAAGAAGATAAAGTGACTCATTCAATCATTTCGCAGAATGGTTGATATATTCGAAGGATTATTAATTATACTTTGTAACAATATTTTTTTTTTTTTTTGTGCATGTATAAAAATTCATCACAAATTTAAGGAAAAATTTTTAAGTATAGGGATTAAATGAAATAAAATACTATAGTACACGAACCTGACAAGTACTTTAATTTGACCCTCTATTTTATGTCATATTTGTTAATGTTACCCTATATTTGTTTTTCATCGAGTTTTCTAACCATTAATGAATCTAATTCATTCTTGGGAAATAATTTGAACTCTAAATGTGGTGCTTAAGCTACTCAATCCCTTCCACTTGCATTGAGTCTATAACTTTAATTTTAGGGTATGTTTAGTTCACACAAGGGAATCAGATCGGGATCAAAATTGGAATCAAATACTTGGTAATGGTAATGAATTTTGGTAAAAGTGTTTTGTATGTTTGATAGTAGGCTGGAATTGAAATAATTATCAATATTGATGTTTCGTTTCGTTTCATTGTGTATGACCTTATAATGGGAATAAATATTTTTAAAATACAAAAATAAAAAATCAAGGCAATTGATCATAATATAATGACATTCAAAGCATCAATATGAAAAAAAAAAATTAAAACAAAAATCTAAATGTACTAATCTAAACTTAAAAATTAGATTACCAAAGGGATGGAATGATACTTTTTTTAAATTAGGGAATGGAACTTTTAATTGTAGGGTAATCAAAACCCATAATTGTATATTTTAAAAAGTTGTCAACCAAACATCGTGAGATCAGACCCCAAAATACTTTTCTACAAAACTCCTATTTTATCAAATCTCAAAATAAAATTATTTGTGTAATTATACTTCTACAATAACTTTGACAAATGGTGTGTGAAATAAAATATTTTTAAACTCTTTATTTCAAATGATTCAACCCAAATACTTGTATATTTAATTATGGCTTTCAAAACCCTTTTTAAAAAAATATTTGTTATTTAAAAACTTGACCCAAAAGTAGTCTATCTGAAACGAACATGTAAATCTGATAGCCAAGTTTTTTTTATCCAAACTTGATTTCAAAATGAATCTAGCCTATTTCTATATTTATTATGTTATATTCTTACTTGAGTTTGACCCAACTTTTGACCCAAAATTATAGGAACAAGTTGCCTTAATAGGAGGTGAAGGAAGTGGACAACATTGAAGGAAGATGAGGGATTCATGCTAATAGGCTAGCAAGCTTGAGGTATAACCTATGGATGTCTAAAACCTAGTATTTTTATACAAAAATCTGTGATATGGGTTGCGTGTACATATAACATATACTCTTGTTTGATGCGTGAAAATGGTGTTATGTGTGGTGTTTTATGTCTATATTGTTGTGGAAGTGAAATGTCTTGATGTTATAATGTGGTTGTTGGGTGTTTTGGAAGAGATTTGTGGTATGGAAATGAAGTTTGTTCTCATAGATGTGTTGCAAGTGGATTCTGGGAGGCTACTGCCTCGAACAGGATTACGGACGTGCGGGAATAACTGCGGAACTAGAGGCCGGTTCCGCCGGCTAGCCCCGTGCGTGCGCAAATTATGTCCTGGACCCAGATTCACAATGCATTGTGGACACGAGTTCAAAACGACGTCGTTTTCAAAGAAAACGCGTCATTCCAGTTAAAACAAAAGAATTTGATTATGTCTCGTCGTTAACGGCGTTATTTGTTTGTGCCATTATGAATGTACAGTTATAGGATTATGAATGTACAATTATGGAATTATGAATGTACAGTTATTGAATTATGAAGGTAAGTTATAAAATTATGAACACAGAGCTCTAACATTATGAACTTACAATTACGAACATATAGTGATAAAATTATGAACATAGAGCTCTAAAATTGTGAACATGGAGCTTCGAAAATTATGAATTTACAGTTATTGAATTATGAATGTACAATTACGGAATTATGAATGTACAGTTATGGAATTATGAACACAGAGCTCTGACATTATGAACTTACAATATGAACATATAGTGATAAAATTATGAACATAGAGCTCTAAAATTGTGAACATAGAGTTTCGAAAATTATGAATTTACAGTTATTGAATTATGAATGTACAGTTACGAAATTATGAATGTACAGTTATGCAATAATGAATATACAGTTATGCAATAATGAATATACAGTTATGCAATTATGAACACAGAGCTCTGACATTATGAACTTACAATTATGAACATATAGTGATAAAATTATGAACATATACTCCTATAACAAAGTGATCTGAATTTTTTTTTTTTTTTATAAAAAAAAAAAAAAAAAGTGGAAGAGAACGATGCCACTAACGGTACCGTTACCATGTCCACCATGCATGCTGGACACGGGTCCATAGCATAACGATTGCCATGCGTGCTGGCAGGCCAGGGATGGCGGGCCTCCAAGCCCTACGACTTTTGTTCTATTGCAATGCATTTAAACATGATAAAAATAATAGGGATAAAGTACAAATAAGTTACTGAACTATTTGAGAAATATCAATTAAGTCATTGAACTTAAATAACCCCAAATAAGGCATTGAACTCGGAAATAAAGAGCAAACAAGCCATTGAACCCAAAAATAAAGAGCAATTAACATTGTTAACAGGTTTGCTTCAGGTTTTTGTTGTCTGAATTGTGAAATGTTTATTTTATTTACGTTTATTAATAATAATATTATCCGTTTGCATAGGATGGTCAACAGGGCTGGTTCGATCTGAGTATGTCTACTTAATTTCTAACCTTTTAATTGCCAAACAAAGTTTTAGTTACAAATGATATTTTTAAAGTTGAATGAGTATGCATGGCTTATTAAGCAGTTAGAAGGAAACTTTGAAGGTAGGTATATTTAAGAAAAACAATTATTATCAAATGCCTTGTGATCGAGTGACATATGTATGGCCTTACAAGTGAGAAGTCTTAGGTTTGAATCTTAGAGTCAATAGCATTTAAAAAAGAAAAATTTTAAAATAAACATACATTGAAAAATTCAACAAGTTTTACGCTACATTTTATTTTAAACCGCGATTGTTGATTAATTTTTTAAAAATTAAAATCCAAAAAATAGTAGCAAGCCAAGCATTAAGCATTTTGTGCTCATATGGCATGTAGTGACTCTCCCATATGGGAGGTCATGAGATCGTTCTCAGTAGAGGTAGTGTTGATTCTTTGTGCTTTAATAAGTTGAGAAAGTATAGATGAGCATATACTATAATGTAATAGATTTAGTAACAATTTTAAATCACAACTAAATTTTGTTGAATGTCGTTTTTATTTCACGACATAATTTCCTGCGATTATGAAAAATGGTCGCAAAATCACCCGCGACACATGATTAGATGACGCTTATTAAATAGCTACAAAACACTATGGCGATGGTTCAAAACTATTGATTAAGGAAATAAAAACCTCCACTAAATGGCATATTTATTATAATGCTCCATGCCCTATGATTGGGAAAATCACAAACACTAGTAGGGTATGTAACACTTTGATAACATTTGTAGATGTTGTTGGGTAATAAGGTAGAAAATTTCAAAAATAATATCCCTATGAAAAGATTATTATTATATGGGAAAAAGCAGAAAATTGGGAAGGAAAAGGTGGATGATTTGGATAGTGGTTAGCACGAGTTGAACAAATCGTTCTTTTCCTTAAAACTTTATTTGCTACCTCCCACAAGTGCTAGGAGCGTTGTAGCCTAGCACTAGTACAGATTTGACAAAAAATATTAGACCATTAGCATCTGTTGTTTAAAAAATAGATACTAAAACACACGGTGGCATAAGTGGAATTTTTTAAATAACTTATCCAAACTGTTGTACTCCGTAACAAATAAATAGATGCTAATGGTGGATTTTAAAAAAGACGGGCACATTTAGAACCTGTTTTTAGAACGACGGACGCCAAAATAAGTGCCCAATTTTTTATTTTTTATTTTTTATATAAGTTATAAAGTCTAATTAAAAACAAACCCTAGCTAGATTTTTCGACTCCTTCCAATCTGTTCTCTACCACGAAGCTCTCTCTAAACCTTCGCAAACATCCACAAATCTAGCCGGCGACCTAGCGTAATAGCGACCACAAAGCTCTCTGTAGTTGACGAACTGAGTAGCGGAGAGCATAGACTGCGTTGAGCGGCGAGCAACATCCGTCAACGACGGCTACGAGCAAGAAATCGAAGGCGAGCAGTGGTGAGGCAACGACATTTTCCTTAAGTACCATTTTTTTTTTCCAGATTTCTTTGTGGTACACAGGAAATTCTTTGAATATACTTGGTTTAGAGGTGGTCAAACTACTGTGAAAGGAGGACCTTATTATGCTCTAATTTATGGATTCAGTATTTCTTTGCCTTTTGTATTCTCAATCATGTGAATCTAGGATGTAGTACGACAGCTACGGCAGGAGGGTTTCAAGGTTTTTTTTTTTTTTTTTTTCACTAATTTTTTCCTGCAATTTTTTAAGGTTTTGTCCTTTCACTGTTGCTTAAATTCGAGTTTTTGGCCTTTTAGATTTCTGGGTTTATGTGATTCTTGAAGATGTGTTATTTTTTTTCTTGATTGTATAGTTTGATTTTATACTCTCAGCAGATTCGTTTTACTGTGTGACTTTCCCATATATATATATATATATATATATATATATATATATATATATATATATATATATATATAGTGGGCATAATATATCACTATTCAGGTTCTCAACTTTTGCTACTTTCATAAATCAATTTTGATCACCCTTTTTGTTTTATTTTGTTTTTCTATTATTATTATTATTATTTTTTTGGTATTTATGTGCCACCAGTTTGACTACCATGAAACTAGGATATGTTTTTGTGTAGTTAAGCACCCACCTGAAATTTGTTTTTCAGGTTGTAGCTAAAATGTGCTCAAAAGTACCCCTTATTAGTAATGTAGTCATGAAAGCCACTGAATATGGTATATATGTTGCCTGCATTCCTTCACGATTTATAATGTCATTCTTGTTTACATTTGTGTGTATGGCAGTATGGGTATATAAATATTTTAATTGCGATATACACAGTCAAGAATGCATATGGAGTACAATGGAATTAAGTCAGAATAGTTAAGTATGAACTGATTTGAATTGATGGGACTTTCCTCTGCTGCAGTGCCGCCATTAGAGGTTGGTAAGCTTTTATTTTCCTGCATTTTGTTCGTTTGAATCATTAATTATTCATTCTACATCTGATCCTTCTTATCCCAAGGATTACATGGTCTTATGTAAATATTGAAGCATTATAGAATTGTGGGACAACTTACAGTACATGGGGAATCAGAGTACTATGTTCGTCATTAGCTGACTCATACTCAAATTCAGTAAATTTGCACAGTTGTCCTAAGGAAGTGGTCATTTAGTATCCTTTTAAGTGAGTCACTGTTTCAATTACCAATCTTTGTTCATATATGATGTTGTTCTGCTACAAATAGGGCTGTTAACGAACCGAATATAAACGAATGGAGGTTGTTCGTGTTCGTTTGTTAAGGAATTTGGAGTGTTCGTGTTCGTGTTCGTTTGTTAAGGTTTTTGAAAATCCTGTTCGTGTTCGTTTGTTAAGCGTTCGTTAGTGTTCGTTAACGTTCGCGAACATGTTCACGAACGTGTTCGTTAACATTAATGAACATGTTCGCGAACGTGTTTGTTAACGTTCGTGAACACGTTCACAAACGTGTTCGACAAACACGTTCACAAACATGTTCATTAACAAGCACGTTCACGAACATGTTCATTTATGTTCATGAATACTTAATAAACAAACACCTGCACATGTTCATGATCACAATTCGTTCGTGAACAATAAATAATATATGTTCACGAACAATAATCAAACAAACAACACAACTACAAAACTAATATAATAAAATATAATATATGTTTGTGAACATGTTCGCGAACATTATTAAACGAACACAAACGAGCTTGTTCACGAACATTATTAAACGAACATAAACGAGCTTGTTCACGAACATTAGTAAACGAACACAAACGAGCTTGTTCACGATCTCTTAGCAAACGAGCTTACAACTGTTCAAGCTCTGTTCGTTTATTAACCGAGCTCTAAATTTTGTTTGTTAATGTTTATTTACCTTAACAAACGAATATAAACGAACGCTTACCGAACACGAACACGAGTAGTTTGCCGAAAGCTTTGTTCGCTAACACCCCTAGCTACAAAATTGAAGGACCTAACTATTTTTTTAACAATCTTATTTATTTTATTATTCTGTCTAATTTTTTGTTCATATATCTTATTTTTGTATTGTCTCAAATGTGTCTAATGTTGCTTTGTATTTCCAGCTGGCTTAGACTTGGGACCAGCCCTTAGTGAAATTTGTGCTGCAAATAGGTCAGATGAGAAGCAGGTAACAACTAGCATATTTTATAGAGTAGTTGGTACCACATTTTGTCCAAATCATCTAGATTGGTTTGGGACAATTCAAGAATTGCTGACTGATCTATATTTTCAAAGTTCTTACAAGCACATCCTGCTGATTATTCAACTGCAAAATTACAGGTTAGAGTAGTTGTTTTGTAATTTAACTCAAATGACTGAAACAGCTTCAATCAGCTGATCCTATTTACTAATATTTGAGAACTTATCAGGAAAAAAATTGATAACATTTCTTTGCATATCCATAGGAACTACGTTGCTGACCACAAGTTTACATCACCACTTACCCCTCCACCGCCACCGGAGTGGTCAGTTTCTAGCTCTATGTTTATGTTTGAACTTGTAATAGCATATTTTGTTGCTGGTAATACTGTAATAGCATATGTGTTTGGTGTTGGGTGTAAAATTTATACATACTCTAGATGTGGGTTTGAAGATGAACTGTTGTTGTGGTTATTATATCTATTTATCTATTGGTTCTTATTTGAATGAAATGATTGAAAAAAAAAAAAAAATGAACGGGCTAGGCTTATATGGTAACTTTGTGGGAATGTTGAAAACCAACTATGCATTTTTCAAAACGAACTGGGATAATTAAGTACTGATAATTTAGTCTAGAGTCTAGACTACTCTGATTTGTCAACAAGCATGCTGAATAAGCTAAGGAACTTATGAATTTTTTATATCAGTGTTGTTGCAGGAGTTACTAATGGTGGTACTCTCAAAAGGTTAGTGTTGGTTCCATTTTTTGGATTCTTTATTTTATTCCATGTATATATTTTGCTTGACTTTTTTTTCTTTTCTCTGATTAGGCACACAATATTTGCAACAGTCTTACAAAGTGAGTGAATCTTTTCATTTTAAATGGATAAACAAGAAGTGGGGAGAGGGCTTCTATGTTAACTTGATAACCACTGCTGGCAATATATGGGCTATAGTCATGTCTCATGGTGCTGTAATTTTAGATCAGGTTTAAGTTAATCCATAATGTTTTCATAGTGAAGAGTGTGGATTGTGTTGTAGTTTATACTCCCCGTATTATATATATTATATTATGGATGTGTTGATGGATTATATTGTGAATTTTGTTGTAGGATTGAATAAATTATTGGTGGATGATTGAATCACTAGTACAAAACTGCACATTTGTTACTGTTGTAAAGGGCTTTTTGCCACTGTGCTACAACAGTAACGAATACTATAGTTACTAAAAGTAATGGACTTTTCGTCACTGTTGTGGAACAGTAGCGAAAAGTTGAGTCATCTGCTACTGTTCTTCACTTGAACGGTGGCAGATTATTATTATTATTATTTTATTATTCACTTTCCGCTACTGTTCTTGTTGAAGAACAATAGCGGATTAATTTTATATTTTTAAAAAAATTCACTTTTCGCCACTCTTCTTCAAAAGAAGAACAGTGGCAGATTCATTTTAATTTTTTTTTTAAAATAAAAATTAAAAAAAAAAAAAACAAAAACAAAAACAGTATTTGTTTTTCACATTGCAATTCTCATACAAACATTATAAAATTACAATACTTCAAGCTAAAAAACAATCAATGAATTACAAATTTACAGTTCCAAATTAAAAATAATTGAAAGTTAAGACCTGGCTAAAAAACAATCAATGAATTTAGATGAATGGCTAAAAAACAATCAATGAACTAGTGTGCCAAAACTAAGACCTGGCTATAGTTGGATCGTATAGGCTCCAATTCAGTAGTGGGAGGAGCTCATTCAATTTCTGCCAAGGTTGAGCAACCAAGATGAATGGCTGCCCATCTTAGAAATGTTCAAAGATCCATCTTACCGGTACTTTCAATTGGATTTATATAAGCTGAACTGCAAAACAAGGATGTATAAAACTATAAATTAATTCCAAGTCCAGTTACAATTTTGCAAGCAACAAAGATTTATTACTGTAAATTCTTTTCTTTTTTTTCTTTCATTCTTTTTTTTTAGGCAAGTATAACAGTAAATTTATTAAAATTCAAAATTACCTAGGTTAATCAAGATCCAATATCATATTAGATAATAAACTTAGATGTTTAACACATGAATTCTTAAATACATAGTAAAAATTGTGAACCTTGAGCTAAAAGATCTCTATTCACAATAGAATTGATAATTTCTTGCTAAGTTTAAGCTTCTAGCTAGCTAAGCTAATATATGTCTTGTTAGTTGTTACCTTCAGTTCTTCAAAAGCTCTAGGAATTGCTTCAAACCCTTTCCATCTATACCTATTCTTTGCCTTCCTTGAAAGAACCTGAACAATCGAGATCAAGCAAAAAGAAGAAGACACCCTCAGTAATCCAAGTAATTAAATTGGATCCAAAGATGAAGTTAATGCCAAATTAGAATATCTTACACAACACTTTCAAGAACATTCACAATGTCATAGATCCTCCTCCTTCCAACCCCTAAACCACAACCAAAACTACCTCAAGTTCAGCACATACACTTTCCAAACATTAAAAAAAAAAATTAAAAAAACTGTTTAAAATAAACCATATGCAATAAAAAAATTTAAAAAATTAGATCAGTACCTAGTTGCCTTGCTTCATCATCAAGCCCAGTAGTTTCTATGCCTTCATGGTTATACAAGCTCAAAAACCTGCATAAACACACAACAATAAGCACAAACTTGGCTTACATCAACAAATATAGACATAGAATTTAACATTTTTGCATGAAACACTTAAACTTTTGGATCCAAACAAATTACTTAGCTGAAGATATAGGCATTTTCATGTGCATAAGCGAGAAGCAGAGAGAGAAACCTGCAGAGAAATCATTTTCATGTACATACCATGAGAGATATGAACAAGAATGGAAAAGAAGTGTACCAACAGTGAAAAACCTTCTTCTGATATGATATTTCCCACTGCTATAGTTACTGGATTCCCATTTACCTTTTACATGTAAAGGCGCTTAAAAATTAGGTCCCACTGCTAAAGATTGACTATTTTATATTATATGGATGAAGACAGTCCAGATCAGCAAAAAAATTCCTCCTATAAATTGCATGAGGCAAACTTTGGTGAAGTCATAAAATGTAAAAGACACTGCAGAAGGGTTATTTAAGAGGTGAGAACGGTGGAAGAAAAAATCAGCCACTTTAATAAACACAATTGATAAGAGATTGGCTCTATAACATTCGACTACTGTGTCTACAACTTTACATCACAGCTATATCAAGAATTGACTGACCTCAAGTAAATAATTTTGGAAGGGAAACAGTAAGTTACACTGTAATGCTTGTGTGAACCCATATGGTTGTCCTACAAGGTCACCAAGATTCAATCCATCCATTATCTGTTTGCACCAACAACTCGTATGAATCAATTTGATAAAAAAAGGAACAAAAAGAAGAAATATATAACATTTCATTTGATTATATACTTGGTTGCTTCTACGCCCCACTAGTACGAAAAAACACGTTTGCTTAGAAATATCTTGTATTTCTACTTTGTCAGAAAAAGAGATTACAATTATCCAGCATGAATGTTCAATTGTAAAGGCAATTCTTCAGTTTAATGCCTTGGAAAGTTTCCACAATTGTAAGGGCACAAAGAGAGTAAGCCCTTCTTCGGTATCGTTGGCTTGGTTTTGGAAAGTTTCCACAACTTTGGTGGTCTCAATGTAGTTAAGGAAAGTGTGGAAAGGTCCAGCAACAGATAGCAAATCTGTTAGGTTCACAAAGTCTGGGGCCGGGGCTGGCGCCGGAGACAGAGAAATGTTTTTTTGGGCATTCGCTGCCGGCATCGAGCAAGAAAAGATCAGCAGACTAGCAACCACAAACACAAAAGTGTAATCCATCTTACAGGTATGATAATGTGCTTCTCTCTCTCTCTCCCTGGAATAAACATTAGAGACTAGAGTCCCTGCATTTGCAAGATCCTAATTAAATGAAATCACAAACATCTTAGGCAACATATAGATCCAAAGACAGTTCAACTAGAATCATTCTACTTCTGCTAAAGTTGCATTAACTAGAAGTCTAGAAATCTAGAATCATCCTACTACTGATAAAGTCACATTCTTTAGCCCCCAGATATATGTAGATCTCAGCATTTGGACATTAATTCCATCCAAAAGAAGGATAATAATAAGCCACTAATGAAAAAGATCAGGCACCCTTTAACAGATAAGCATTCATGATTCAGTTCAGTAAGAAAGAATATTAAAAGAATTACTAAAACCCAGCATCTCAAGAAGAATGTCACTTTTCGTGAACAAGGAAAGTACATACAGACATGCTGGGAAGTGGGATTTGGGATATCAGATTAGTACTGTATTTCCTTTTTAAAGTTGTAATCTTTAGCCCACTGAAGCTGTAGATCTCAGCATTCTGACGTAAGTCCAAGAAAAGGACACAAACAGAAACATAACAGATTCAGGTACCCTTTTAGATGCAAGCACAAGAAAACCAGAATTCAGAGCTACACTACAAACACACACACACAATGTAGATAGATTATAGATATAACAGTTAATTCAACATAACAGAAGCAGATCAGGGGTCCCAAATCTACACAAACAAAACTAGAAGATTTGAAATGAAAAGAGGGTGGTCTATAACTAGAGAGAGAGAGAGAGAGAGAGAGAGAGAGCTAACCTGGGGAGAACTGAGCTGAGTTGAGCAACTCAGAGAGAGAGAGAGAGGAGAGGGGCTTGGAGGTGGAAGACAAAGGCTGAGGGAACTAGGGGAGACAGAGAAGGAGCGGCGAGGAACGTGAAAGGCAGTAACTCCGGGAAGAAGCGAACGAGCGATAATTCTTGGGAGAGGTCTCGGCGCAGCGTCGGCCGACAGATCTGAGAGAGGGAGAGTCAGCGGCTGTGGCGGTGGTTGCGTCACAGTGGATCGGTGGAGCTAGATCTGATCTGGTGAGAGTGAGAGAGAAGGGATAGTGAGAGAGAAGTGATCTGGTCTGGTCTGGTGAGAGTGAGAGAAGTGAGCTAGATCTGGCAGGTCTGGCGTGATTTTTTTTAATATAAACTTTTCGCCACCGTTTCAACTAAGAACGGTGGCGAAAAATAAAAGCCTTTTCTAAACAGCAACCGTTTTATCTTATAACAGTGGCGGATTGTTGATTAATTATTTACAAAATTGCCACCACAAATTTTTAATTAAGAATACACCACCGTTCTTATAACAACAGTAGCTAAATGTTAGTCTTCTATGTCCATTTTTGTACTAGTGAATTTGATTATATTCAATATGGGTGAAATTTAGTGCAGCAGGTAGAAAATAATTATTAAAAAAATTAACTTTTTATAAATCAAGACAATAGGCGTCTGTTTGACGCCTATTGTTTTTATTTTTTTTATTAAATCACGATAATAGGCGCCTGTTCTTTTGGAGGAACAGACGCCTATAGTCCACAAAAGGCGTCGGTGGACAACAGACGCCTAAAGTCTTGACTATTAGCGTCTTGTTCATAAACACCTGTTGTAAAAGAGACGCCTAGACGTGAATAACCAGTTTTGTACTAGTGTAGGTTTCCCAGGATTAAACGTGCTACGATTCAGTGTTTGAGCACCCAAACAAAGAATCCGGCGAACAAAGCAAAGTAGAACACAATTGGCTAAAGAAAAGAGTAGGAGCAGAGTTTTGGGAGCTGAAAACGTAGTGGAATTCCATGAATTTCTTGTTGTACGTTTTGGTGTTGAGGGAGTTGAATAACCTTCAATATAGCATTTTAAAGTTTTGGAATTAATAGAAAATTAATTCTGTAACGGTTGAGTTTAATGCCTAAACGGTCACTACTTCGTCCTGACCAGATAACGAATCTGGATGCAAAAACGGTCGAACCCGCGCTGGCTCGCTGTTCGGTTTCGACCTCAAGGCCGAACGGCCTTGGCCGAAACTTAACAGCGCAAGGCCTGCCAATTTCCGGATGACATTTATTAGTGAAGTTGTTATTATTTAGAGTTAATTCCACAAATGGTCCTTCGACTATATTGATTTTTCAAAATTAGTCCTCGACTTTTAATTTGGACACTTTATGTCCCTTGACTTTCAATTTCTTTCCAATTGAGGTCATTTCGTCAAATTACGGTAAATTGGACTT